AAAAAAAAAAAAAAAAAAAAAAAAATTCCACTACCTGTGAAGTGCAATAAATCAAGGCGTGCCTGTATACTCTCTCCTAATATCCTGTCTCCAGCCTCTGCAGCCCCCTCGGCCCCACCCCCCCTGCACCCCTGCCCCTGGCACTTCCCACGTCTGAGCTCTGTGTTGTCACCCCATGGAAATGCCACCCTTTAGGGAAGTCCCCAACTTATTCAGTCTATAGCTGTCAGAGCACACAGGTGGCTCATCTATCTTAGCTACTGCAAGTCACTGATACTTTAATCCAGTCAGCCGCTCAGCCTTTTGGGGAGCATTTATTGAGTCCCTACTGTGTGCCAAGGGAGAGCCAATATTGAGCATAAGGACAGGATTCCTGCCTTCAGGGAGCTTACAGTCTAGTGTGGGAGGCAGTGATTAATCAAACAATCACATAAAGAAAGAACACATTAAAGAAGCGCCTGGCACCTGTAGGCCTTCTGCAGGTACCTAGTGAGTGTCCACAGCTGCAGTCAGGGCTGTGAAAGAGGCATGGAGGGTGGGGTGCTTCTCTGAGGAGGAGGTGTAAAGGAAGAGCAGGGGTGAACAGGCGAGTGGGGGAGGAAGGGCACTCCAGCTATGCAAGTCCCCGAGCTAGAAAGATGTGTGGCCCTGTGGCCTACAGGAGACCTAGAGGCCAGTGTCACTGGTGTGCAGTGACAGGAAAACAGTTCAAGGTGAGACTGGAGAGACAGACGGGCCAGGCAAGCAGGGCCTTTAAGGCCTTGGAAATTTTTGATACTGGCAGAAGAGCAAAGGGTCACCTACGAAGGCTTTCAGTTAGGGAGAAACTTCCCAGCCTGTATTTTGAAATTTTGAGCCTCGAATTGGAAGTTTCACTGGATGAATGCAGGGAGGCCAGTTGGAGGTTACTGCGAGACTTAATTGGGTTGGGGCCATCTCCCTACTAAATAGTAAGTGCCCTAGGACAGGACCTGCACTTGGCACCCTGCCAAAATCACAGAAACACACATACATGGAGCCCAGCCCGAGCGTGCACAGAAAAGGTACCCCACACACGTTTGAAATCAGTCTGGAATCAGAGTTACCTAGCAACTTTCAACCCACCAGTTTATGTACACAGGGCCCTGGGAGCCTTGGGAACAATTGGGTGGGAAAGGGAGACAGGCATCCTGCTGCCCAATGTCTCCCAAGGTAGAACCTGGGAACGAGGCTCCCGTCTCTCCTTTCACTTGCTCCGTTAAGTGTTGTTCGTGTTCAAGGCCGGCCGGTCCACTCCCTGCCCCTGGCAGGGAACACCAGGCTCTGTCCCAAGCCTTCGGCAGCAACAGCCAGGTGTGCTGGCCTCTGCCACACCATCCTGGCTCCTCACCGGTCCTGGCGTCGAAGTGGAGGTGATGGGGGATGCCGTACTGGAGGGAGGTCATAATGTCCAGGGATGTGGCTGTTCTTGGGTGAGTCATAGTGGCCGGGGGGTAGACCCGGAGGCAGAGGGGGCTGGGGGCCCACAGAGTCCCGGTCTGGAAACGTACAGGACAGGATGAGAGGGCGTGGCTCCCCCAACTCCCACTGCTCTCCTCCCCTCTTCAGCTTCTTAAAGGCAAAGAGAAGGAGATGGGTCTCTGGATACATAGCCCAGCTTACCATCAGCTAGTTGTGCGGCTCTGAGCAAAAGGCCCTTAGCGCCTCAGCTGCCAGTGAGAAAGCCCCCTCAGCCCACCCACCTCCCAGGATTCCAGGAGACTTCATCCCTTGCCTGGCTCCCTACTTTTCTGGGTGCCAACTCCACCCCCCAATGCTGTACAACCACCACTTCAATCCTGAGCCCTGCGAGGCACATACACATGCTGTTCTCCAGATGAGGACATAGGCTGAGAGGCCACCTCGCTGCCCCATTGTGCTCCATTTGAGCCGGAGGCTGACCCTGAAGGCCTCACTTTTGCTGCCACGTCGCACCTTCTCCTCCTCTCCCTGCTCCTTCTCTTTTTTCTGCCTCCTTTGTCCCGTTTCTCTGCCGCTCCTGCCAGTGGAGAGGGAGGGCTCACCGTGGATCAGGGGGCTGGGCTGCTCGTAGGTGCCACTGTCTCTCTGTGGCAGGGGCTGCCGCCGCCTCTGGCTGTCCCGGAGCTGGAGCTGACGAGGCTGCCTGGGGGGAGATCCTGAGGGGGGGCCTTTCATTTCCATGTAGCTGCTCTCCCGGGGGCCCCCTGGCAGGCTGGGCAGGTCCCGGATGGTGGCATAGGGGTTCTCACTGCTCAGGGAAGCCACGCTGGCCCCGAGCCCCTCTTCAGAGATGAGCCCTAAGGATAGAGGAAAGAAGTCAGGCTCCATGGAGGCGCTGGCTCCTTAGCCCCCGATTAGCCGCCTCCCTTGTTGCCCCTGTGCCCATACCTTTATTATAGAATGGGCCTGGGCCATTGCTGTAGCTGTAGCTGCGGTCCAGGCAGCTGCTTCCTGAGGAGGAGACAACTGGCAATCAGCCCTCTGTCCCCTCCCCAGGCTCACACCCCCTCTAGAACTGGGACCCAGAGCCCCATCTCCAGACACACTCACTCAGACGTGGTGGGATGCCAGGCTGCACACATCCACCCTCACCAGACACCCTGGACCCCGGCACCTACCCCTGTCTGGAGGCCCAGGACCCCGGCACCTACCCCTGTCCAGAGGCCCTGGAGGGTGCTCCCAGCGGTGCTTCCAGTCAGCAGGCAGGGTGGCATGGTTATCATGCCCGTGGGCCCCACCTGGCCGCTCAGGGGCCTGCAGGCTGGCAAAGAGCTGGCTGGGAACCTGAGAGGGTACAGTGCAGTAGGGAGAGCAAGAGCAAGGACAGGGCTTTCCAGAGAGTCAGGTCTGCGCGCTTCCCTCCACAGGGCACTACTCCCCCAGCACTGACCTTGTTAGGGGGCGGGGGGTTCGGGGAGCACTGCGACAGGGTGTGGTAGCTGGGGTTGGAGTAGTAGTGACTATAGCTCGGAGGGACATCTGCATGACAGACACAAGCGCAGGGTGAGCTCAGCGATGGGCAGCAGTCCAGGAGAGCTGTTCTGTCCCCAGAGATCGGTACTTTGGCCTCGCTGACCTCCCTTCCTCCCTCCTCCCCACTCCTCAGTTTCCCTTTGGGTCATGCCCAGGACCCACTCTTGTGCCTATCAGCCAGCCACTCCTCTGTGCTCCAGGCCCCATGCCAGCTCACCTGGCATGACATACTCGGAGCCGTCCAGCCGCCCGCTGCTGTAGGCCACTGCCAGGTGATGGTGCTCCTTGCCTTTTTGCCAATGCCGATAGCCAATGAACAGTGCCACCAGGGCTACCACAAGGGACCCCAGCACTGCAATGCCAATCACTGCACCCAGCGAGTTATAGGCCACTGGAGTGGTAGGCATCACAGTAAAGGGCTCCTGGATTCCTGTGTGGGATGGGGCGGTCACTCAGAATGGCATCTTGACTCTGCTGCATGGGAGAGGTGCCCAAGAGGAAGGCAGGGACAGTATGAGGGACCTAGGTCCCGGTTCCCGGGGGACAATGGGTAGAAAGGAGGAGGCAAAGAACTCACCAATCCTGCAAGGCGCGCCACTGTGCCCAGGGGGACATACACAGGCCCCAGTCTCTGGGTGGCACTTTTCCCCAGGACCACACTGGCATGGCTGGGAGCAGTTAGCACCAAATGTCCACAGAGGGCAACCTGGGGAGACAGCCAAGGAGACAGGCAGGCATCAGGAGGCCAGGAAACTCTAGTCTCCTTTCTGGGTGAGGGCTAAGTTGGGGCAGGGGCACGGAGTTCCCCTTCTGATGGTACCTTGCAAGCAGTGGGGTCCAGTCCAGCCTGGGGGGCAGATACAGCTCCCATCCTGGGGATGGCAGGTCCCACCATGGTGACATTGGCAGGGCTGGGCACAGTTTTCTCCCCAGTGTCCTGGAGGGCATGCTACAGGAGACAAGGGGCCTGTCTGGTGGGGCAGGTACAGCCCCTCCCCGATGAACTCTCAGCCACCAGCATCACTTAAGTCTTTAGCTCAGCTTTGGTCTCCCTGGGGACACCAAGGCTTTGAAGAGTATCTGCAACCAATGACTCACAAATGATTATTTCCAGCCCCATCTCTCCCCGGAGCTTCAGACCCACGTGCCCACCTCCCTACTCCACATCTGCACTTGACTATGTAGTAGCCACTTCAAATGAATGCATTCAGTGCTACGCAACCAAAGGCTTCCAAGCTACCCCACGTGGATTTTTGTTTGGTTTTTAACATAAGAGAGAAGTAAACACCTATCCTATGTAAGGCATTATTATTGTGTGTCTGACACTACCAATAATCTAGTAGTAGTTGTAGCCAGATCCTGTGGAAAAACTCTTCACCAAGATGACTTCCTTTTCTACCCTGCCTGCTGGTAAACTGATATTTAGCCTTCTTTTTAACAGCCTGTTTCCTCTTTCCAAACCCATTTTACTTGGCTTTTTTGCACTAATCTTTTCCATCATCTTCATATATTTTTGTGGGGGAAAGGCTCACAAAATAAAGAAATACATGTATTTGTTAGTATATAAATAAAAATAAACTGAAAAATGTAAAAAAAAAAAAAAAAAGGGCCAGGCGTGGTGGCTCACGCCTGCAATCCCAGCACTCTGGGAGGCCGAGGTGGGTGGATGGCCTAAGGTCAGGAGTTTGAGACCAGCCTGGCCAACATGATGAAACCCCGTCTCTACTAAAGCTACAAAAATTAGCCTGGTGTGGTGGCACATGCCTGTAATCCCAGCTACCAGGGAGGCTGAGGCAAAAGAATTACTTGAACCAGAGGCGGAGGTTACAGTAAGCTGAGACCACGCCACTGCACTCTAGCCTGGGTGACAGAATGAAACTTGGTCTCAAAAAAAAAAGCAAGCAAGCAAGAACACGTCCCAAGCTAAGCCTATGATTTCCCCTGCTCCCATAAAAATACTGTTCTTCCCAGGCTTCCCATGCAGAAGGGCAGTAAGTTGTTTTTTCCCCTGAGCTGTTCACTGTTGCATCCTTAGCACTGAAAACAGTACCCAGCAGGTAGACAGTGCCCAGTAAATATTTGCTCAAGGTGGGCCCAAGGATTTTATACCCAGGAACTGCGAAACAGAGGCCTCCCGACCTCAGCGCCCCCTCTCAGCATGCACGTGCTCAGACACACAAGCTACCACATACGCTGGGAGCAGTCAGGGCCTGTCCAGCCAGCCAGGCAGTAGCACGTCCCGTTCGAGGGGTGGCAGGAGGAGTGGTTCCCGCACTTGCAAGGCACACAGCGTTTGCCGTAGCGGCCAGGCTGACAGGCTGGGAGAAAGGGGCACTGGTGATTGGGGGCAGAGGCCAACCCTCAATCCGCCCTTACCCCACTGCCTCCCTCCCTCCTTCCCACTGCAGCAACTAGCCTGAAGACCGGTCAGAGGAAAAGACCAAGGGGGTTGGAGAGGGGAGCGCTCTGGCATCTGACACCACACTGCTCCCTGCTGGTGGCAGGTGGAGGGGGCAGTGGGGAGCCTCACATCTCTGGCAGGAGGGGCCTCGGAATCCCGGTGCACACACACAGTTGCCATTCTCAGGGAGGCAAGTGCCCCCATTCTTGCAGGTGCAGGTGTTGCTACAGTTGACTCCCCATAAGCCCTCAGGGCAGGACAGGTGGCAGCGGGTGCCTGTGGGAGACAGCAGTCAGGTGTGCCTGGATGGGCCCCCTTCAGTTCCAGTGGGCTCTTCTGGGCATGTTTCCTATGGGGTGGATCCCCCAATCCACAGTAGGCCTGGAGCCCCAGAATGCTCACCCATCCAGCCAGCCTCACACTGACAGCGTCCATGAACCGGGTCACAGCCATCAGAGTGGTCACAGTCACAGCGACTGGCACAACCTTCTCCAAATTGCCCCTTCTTGGAAAAGGAGTGGAGAGCAAACAGGCCAGTCAGCTGGGGGACACCACGGCCTCCCTCCCGCAGGCAGACAGGCTGTGCAGCACTCACCGGGCAGGGCAGCTGGCAGCGGGCCCCATGCCACCCAGGGGCGCAGGTACAGGCCCCAGTTTGGGGGCTGCAGACTCCCTCATGGGCACACTGGCAGCTGGCATTGCAACCGAAGCCCCAGGTTCCAGATGGGCAGGGCACAGAGCAGTTACCACGCTGCCAACCTGGAGGAGGGGCCTGGTTGGTAGGCATGGGGACCCAGCTCCCCTCCTGAGCAAGCACACAGTGGGAGCTAGCTGGGACAGATCCTACTATGCTATGAGCTGGGGTGGGCGGGGGTGTTCACAGCACCACACAGGAGAATAGCCTATGAACTATTCAATGCTGAGCAGAAGGCTAATTGCCTTCCAGTGAGGTACCACCCCATTCTGGGTCTGGGGTGCCTTCTGCAAAATAAAGGGGATAGCAGTAAACCCAAATGCTTACAGGGGTCCCATCAGATAGCTAAATGAGTCCCACAGAGGATGTGCCAGACAACAGGGAGTAGTGGATATGGAAGGTGAGGGACTTGTTGAACTTAATAGAGAGCTAGCCAAACAGAACACAGCTGTATCAGAATCCAGCCTAAAGGTTGCCCATGTGCCACTCTGGCAGATCTGAGGCCCTTCCCAGCACCGCAATTGTGTTTCTCTATGACTGAGGGTGAGGGGTGTTCACCAGGGAGGTGTCTTTTGGCCTCAGCCTCCAAGGACAAGTAAGATATTTGTGGTTGAAGAAAGCAAAGTGGATATTCCAGGAAGGAAATAGCCTGGACGCTTTCCCTCCGTCCAGCTGCTGCCCCCTCCACCCTTACCCTGCAGCCACTCCCCTTGGCCTACATGTACTCTTGGACTCTCACTTCTTCCCTTGCCTGTCCCTCAATCCCTCAAGTCCTCTCTGGGAAACTCCATCCAATTACCTTCCTTGCAGACGCACTCGCCGTCGATGGGTGAGCAAGCGATGGCATTTTCACAAGAGCAGCGTGAGGAACAGCTGACACCGTAAGTGTCCGGAGGACAAAGACTAGCACAGTGAGGGCCCTGAAAAAGGGTAAGCGGTGAGAGGGGCGGCCCATTCCTTGGCCTCTCCGCCGGCCTCTCTTCCTCGCAGCGGGGCGCGCCTCACCGTGTAGCCCGGCGCGCACTGGCAGAGGCCGCTGGCAGCCTGGCAGACGCCGCCGTGCAGGCAGAGACAGTGCTCCTGGCACCCCGGCCCGTGCGTGTCCTGCGGGCAGCTCTCATTGCAGTGGAGGCCGGCCCAGCCTGGCAGGCAGGAGCACTCCCCGTTCATCGGGTGGCAGCTGGGGGCGGAGGCGGGGGCGCGGCGCGGTCTGAGCTGGGCCAGGGCAGACCGGTTTCCCCGACCCCTCCGCGTAGTGGGATTCTCACATCGCTGGGGCAAGGGGGCCACTAGGGAGGCTCCCCGCTATTCCGAAAACGGAATTGAGGCAAGTAGTGGTACCCCAGGCCCCTCCCGGCCCCCGAGGCCCCTCCCTTTCCCCTCTGTGAAACCTGTTCCCCTTGGATATGCCCCTGGCGCTGTGGCGACCTTGGCCCAAAGACCTCCCCATTGGCCTCCTGATCCGTTGACCACGTGTCCCGCGGCCCACCTGAGGCTGTGCTCCGGGTCGCAGGTGCAGGGGGCCTGGCAGCTGAGACCGTAGAAGCCGTCGGGGCAGAGGCGCTCGGTGCAGCGGTCCCCGGTGAAGCCGTGTTCGCACAGACACGCGCCGTTGGCGGGGAAGCAGCGGGCGTCCGGGCCGCAGTCGCAGGTCTCAGCACAGTCCTGCCCGAAGCGCCCCACCGGGCACTCCTCCCGGCACCTGGGCACCTAGCTGAGTGAGCCTGGCGGCGCCCCACCTCCTTCCGCCCGCCTCCTCCCTGCGCCACGCCACTCACCTATCCCCAGTGTAACCTGGAGCGCAGCGGCACTGCCCGGTGAATCGGTCGCAGAGGCCGCCGTTGTGACAGCGACATTTCTGGGAGCAGTTGGGTCCGTGAAAGCCCTCTGGGCAGGGCAGGGAGCAGATGGTGCCCTGTGGGGATGAGAGGTCAACAGGGCCAGGCACCCAGCCTCCTCCCCAAGGCCACAGAACCCCTGACACCCCCATAGGCACAGAGCTCACCCCTCACTCACACCCTCCTTGGAGCCCTGCTTAGCACCACCCACAGAATACACCCCACACCCCATGCCCACAGGCTCCACCCTCCATACCATCCAGCCAGGGGGGCAGCTGCAGGAGCCCTTCGGGGCTTGGAAGACACCTCCATTTTGGCAAGGATGGGTGCTGGGGCAGAAGAAACCAGCAGTGCCCTGGAGGCAGGACACATCACAGCTGCAGGACGGAGCAGGTGAGGTCAGTGTGTGAACAACCAATAGCCGCTTCCCCTTTTGCCTCCGAGGGCTGTCCCCCCAACCCCCACCTCAGGACTTAGTGATTCACACTTACTCTTCCCTGCTGGGGACTATCAGTCAGAAAGCAAAGGGTTCCAGGACTGGAAATGGCAGGGACACCCTAGCACAGCAGGTGGGGGTAAGCAAGAGCCAGAGTGGCATGGCATGTGTGCCTCCTGGGCACCCGCCTCTTCACCTGCTCTCGGGAATACCCATGCTACTGCAAAGGGCTGAACTCCACGAGCGCCTCCACAAGGCCCCATCCTGATTTCCACCTAGGTGCACCTGCTCCCTTCTGGGACTCCCCAGCTCCCCCTGCACCCTGCCTTGTGACAGGGTTCTCCGGGTCCTTGTCCCAGCCTCCCTTTACAGCATGCCTCCACACACGTGCTGCTTGATGTTATCTCCACAGCCACCTTCCATGTAGACAATACTATTTCCGTTTTACAGACAGCAAACAAGCTCACAAAGTGTCAATGAGTTGCTCATTCCACTAGTGAGGTGGGATAGGGTCCCCTGGGACCACGATCCTGGCCTCCACACCCTCCCCACACTCGGGGCCCTGTCTGAACCACCTCATTTCCCCGTGCATGTGTGTGCACCTCTGTATCTGCGACCTCGTTAATGTGTCATTCCCCTGTTACACACCTGGGCCCAGTTCTCTCTGCAGGGCAGAAGCAGGCTCCAGTCTGGGGATCGCAGGGTGCCCCATGGCACTGGCAGCGGAACTGGCAGGCAGGGCCATAGTACCCAGGGGTACAGGGCTGAAGGCAGTTTGGGGGCTGCAGACCAGAAAGGCAAGCACACACCCCACTCTTGGGGTCACAGGGGCTGCTGCCGCAGGTGCAGGGCTTGTCACACTGTGGCCCCCACATTCCTGGGGCACACTCTATGGGATAAGGAGGCAGGAAGGGGGTCACCAGGGGTCTAGCCCATCCCCGGCCTCTGGTTAGCCCCCCGCCTCTGTCTCCCAGCCCCCACACCCCACTGTGTCTTCCACATCTCCAGAAAAGGCAGCTGGCAGCAAGGGGCTCTCAAAGATAATTGCCCTGGAGTCCTAAGCTCCTGTGCCGTGCTAGGGAGGGTATGCCCGAGGGTCCTGTGGCCCTGAAGGCACAAGAGGCCACTCCCCAGGGTCAGTAGCCACTCACCACTGGAACAGTCGTCGCCCCGCCAGCCTGGTACACATTGGCACTGATTGGGTGCCACACAACGGCCATGGACACACTCCTGGGCACAGAGCGCTGGGACAGAGATGGGTGTGAGTGAGAAGATGTGTCCACCCCTGCCCCTACCCAGCTTTTATCCTGCAAAGCCTAACCCCACCTTCTTCTAACACCAGGGACCAGAAGTTCTCCAAGCCCCAAAGCTGCCTCTAAGATAAAGAAAGACTGAGGGGCAGCAACTCATGGGGGAACTTAGCAAGATGCCAGGGTCTGTGGGTTCCCGTTCCTTTTCGTGAATTTGTCTGAGTACCTTGTTGGGAAAAGGCTTTGGGGGAGATCCACAGAAGGGGGCTGGACATGGACGCCGTCCAGAGAGAGGGCGGGTGAGGGCCGGGATGGGTCAGGCTGGAGAGCTGTGTTCCCAGGGGCTAGTGATGGACAGTGGCTGAGGGAAGTGGGAGGAGGAAGAAGGCAGGCTCTGGTCATTACAGGGTGCTGGGAGGGGGTGCAGTGGGCAGGAGAGACTGGATGGTGACAAGTCAGAGACCAATAACAATAGGGAGTCAGGGACAGGAAGAGACAGAGGCAGACCCAGACACCAAGTCCTCAGACACACAGTGACAGAGAGACAGAGACAGACCAGAAACAGAAGGAGAGCTCTAGGGCAGACAGCGAGGCAGAGACAAGGCTGAGGGGCCTGGAGAGGGGGAGAGGACACCCAGGGGGCTGGAGAGAGGGGTGTGAAGTGCTGATGGAGAGGGAAGTGCCGATCCTGATCCTGGGGACAAGGCCAGGGAGCAGGAGGAAGGGGAGAAAATCCAAAAGGGCAGAGGAGTAACCCCACCCTAGTGGGGGCCAGGAGGGACTCGGAAGAATGGGCTGAGCTCCCCTCATTCCATTGCCCCACCCCCCCAGCCCCACAGTGGACTCACGGACACAGAAGCCACTGCTCTCGTAGAATCCGTGACAGCACTGCAGGCGCTGGCGGTGGTCCGTTTTCACCACCTGACGGTACACGGTCCGGTACACAACCCTAAGGAGACCAGGAAGGTGGCCCTCAGCCCTCTCGGCTGTCCACTCTCACAACAGTGTGGCCAGGATGGGGGGTGGTGGGGGCACCGCCTAACACTCTGGGCTGGGGGAGCATAGAAAGGGCATTTCCTGGCCGGGCGCAGTGGCTCATGCCTGCAATCCCAGCACTTTGCAGGGCCAAGGCAGGTAGATCACCAGGTCAGGAGTTTGAGACCAGCCTGGCCAAGATAGTGAAACCCTGTCTCTACTAAAAATACAAAAATTAGCCAGGGGCGGTGGCGGGCGCCTGTGATCCCAGCTCCTTGGGAGGCTGAGGCAGGAGAACTGCTCGAACCAGGGAGGTGGAGGTTTCGGTGAGTCGAGATAGTGCCACTGCACTCTAGCCTGGGCGACAGAGCAAGACTCTGCCTTAAAAAAAGAAAGAAAAGGCATTCCCTGTTTGAGGTTGCAATGAGCTACCATCTCGCCACTGCACTCCAACCTCAGTGACAGAGTGAGACCTTGTCTATTAAAAAAAGAAAGAGCATTTCCTTCTTGGCCCCCTCACACAGGCACATCCTGTAACATGCATGTACACCCCAAACACACATACACACATACACCCACATACACACATACACCCACATACACGAACCCCACACAGGCCACACGGAATGAGTCCCGAGAAGCCAGGAGTTTCCTTGGAGTTTCTGAGAAGTGAACAGGGACAGAGGGCCAGGGACCAGAACGAGGCAGTGACTCAGGCAGCCCACCCACCCATGGAGGATGACAAGCACTCACGTGGGCTGGGGGCAAGTATGGGCACCCTCCCAGGGGCGCTCGCAGGGCTCCGAGGGGAAAAGACTGAAGGGGCGGGAGTGGGACTCCTTGGTGGTCGTGGTGAAGCTGCAAGACAGGGAACAGGGTGAGGGCCGAGGGCAGGGAGAGGCCTGAGCGACACAGCAGGAAACGGCCGTGAGGGCTTGGCCACAGTGGGGAATCCACAGCCCAACAATGGGGCTGGCTCCCCAAGCCTAGGATGGGATCTCCATCCTGTCCCCCACTCTCAAGTCTGGAAGGCTTCTCCCAGAGCTGGAAGGTTCTTGGAATTCCCTCCATCAGAACCCCCTTTCCACTCGATTGGACCAGGGACTTCCATTTTTCTCCCCACACTACCCGCCCTGCATGGGAAAGGCGAGTGAGAACCGAATCTGGGCCCAGCTGGCGGAGATGTGCTGGGCATTTCCAGCTATATTCTGCCCTGGGTCTTGTGTCCCTGCCCTGTTCCCTTTGCTCCCCCTGGGCCAGCCCCTCTGCTTGCTCCACCATGAATGGCTCTCACTCTGCACTCTGTTCCGAAGCTGGCCTCCCAAAAGGACAAAGGGACAGGGACAGGGACAGAGAAAGGATGGGTCAGAGACAGGACGGAGACTGAGACAACATCAGAGACGGTGCTGCCGTCAGCGGCAACCCATAAAGAGGAGTAGAGAGAGCAGAAACAGAGAAACAGGCAGGAGGGGAGAGGCTGGAGAGAAGGAAGGAGGTGAAGGAGAGGACCCCCATAGGGACAGTAGGGACAACCGGGAGCTAGGGCTTGGTGCCCTCAAGGCGCAGCAGGGGCCCTCTCACCTTTCCCAGAAGCTGCAGGTGTTGGGATCACTGGGGTTGAGAGTTCCAGCCAGCCCCAGGCCCAGGGCCAGGAGAAGGAGAGGGCGCAGAGGCGGTGACATTGCAGAGGCCTGCCCCAGGGCCGGCACAGAGCAGGCAGGGGCGCTGCAGCGGGCAGCCTGGAGGACCTGTCTGCAGAGATCTGAGCCGTGGGCCTGCAGAAGACACCAGACTGCAGCCCCATGTCCTGTGGCCCCCTGCTCTGGGCTCCAACTCCCCACCTCACTCCTGGACCACAGTCACCTCCACGCCTCTGGTCTTTGCTCATGAATTACTTAGACACCCTCACGTTTCATTCACCTGGAGTTCTCATCTTTCAAAACCCAGGTGCCACCCCTTCTGTCCTCCACCTCCTGTCCCTCAATGGCAGACAACCCCACTCATTGCTTCTGGGGGTTCCAGAACCATTCACCCTACCCCACTGTTCCTGTGCCTGCTCCCTGGCCAGGACCTCCAGAGGCAGGGACCCAGTGCCTTTCATCTCTGAATCCCCAGCCCCCAGCCAGGCCCTTCCCAGGGCACTCTGATATTTGTACCAAGGTGTGAGACTGGAAGCAGTGAGGGGAAGTGATGAGGGATGCAGCCCTGGGCTCAGTCAGAGGAAGAACTTTCCAAGTCGGAGCAGCTCAGGAATGGAGTTGGCTACCTCAGGTGGTGAGCTCCCCATCACTGGATGTATGCAGGCAGAAGCCAAAGCCAGCGTGATGCGATACTGTCAGGGGTTTTCTGTTCTATTTGTGGGGAATAGGGCTGGGTCCAGGTGACCTCCCAACCAGTGGCGGGCTGGAGCCAGCTCACGCGGGCTGAGAGCCCATGGTACTAGCAACGTGTTCAGTGATGTTACGTGAGTAGCCTGGAATCAGGCATGGGGGTTATTGACACCAGAGAAACTAGCAAACACTATAACCCAAGGCCAGCCACCCCGTCCCCGGAAGTCAGTAGTGACACCTTAGCCAGCACATTACACCCAGCTCTAGGGGCCATCGCCTAAGGAGGTGGCCAACCTGGTGACCTTGCATTTAAGGAAAAGCTCCCGCCTCCCTCATACCCTGTCGGCCATTTGGAAATGGGGTCCTCTCCCTCCCCACCACCCCTGGCTCCCGGGACTTCATACAAGTCTGCTCCCTCAGCTCCTGGGCTCAGAGAGGCTGAGCTCCCGCAGCACCACGCCCGCGGCCAGCTTCAGGTTCTGTGTTCCACGTTCCCAAAGCTCGCTCTGGCTCCCTGCTCTACACTCCCCGAGGCACCCACATCTGCTTATAATTTTTCTGAGAAGAGAGAAAGGTCGCGGCTGCTGGCCCCTTACCCCCCTGAGTATCTCAGGAATGCTGGCCCCACCCCACACCCCACACCCACACATTCCCAGGGCCCCCACAGACCCTCTCAGCCCTAGGAAGGCAGCCCCTCCTTCCCTCCAGGTCTAGGCTCCTAACTTAACTCCATCTCAACGCCATGCTCCTCCTCCATCTTTAACCTGCCAGCAGCCCTTCATCCAGGAGGCTGGCCCGCCCCTCCTCCCAGTGCCAGCGTCTACCCACCCCTCCAGTGCGGCCCCGCCACCATATCCCATCGCACCCCTCTGGCTGAATCTCAGCCTCTAGCCTCTCCTGCTTCCTCCCATCCATCCTCAGTCCCCAAGTAACTCACCAGGTGGGACCTGCCCACAGCTCAGCCCTGGGGCCTGAGGGCCAGGGAATGTCCGGGGGGGATCCCAGCGTTTGAGATATGAAGCCTGAAAACAGGAAACAGAGCCTGGCTAGGATGAGGGACAGCAGGCGGCACAGGGGTGGCCCCGTCCTCCCGCCATCCTGAACGCCGGGGGTAGCGTAGGAAAGGGCCGTGACCAGAAGCCTCTTTCTGGCTGCTTGTCTCCAGAGCGGACGCTGCGGTCCCTCTGCAGGGAGAGGCCAGGGTCAGGAGTTCGGTCCCTCTGCAGGGAGAGGCCAGGGTCAGGAGTTCAGCCCCTCTGCAGGGAGAGGCCAGGGTCAGGAGTGCCCTAGAGACGCTCCCCAGAGTGCCCCAGCGCTCCACTCACGTCACCCATACACGTCCCGCTGCTGGAGTCGTCCCTTCTCCCAGCTCCTCAAACCATCCCCTCCCACCCCGCCCTGCTCCTGCCATATTCCCAGGCCCAGTGCCCACTCCAGGGCTCGCTCTGCCTGGTCCCAGCGAACCTTCTCCCCACCTCTCCCTGGCGTGGTTGGCAGCCAAGGCCGTGGGCAGGACCCTGAGCCCTCCCTCCATCCATCTCTGCCTCGCCTCTCCATCTCCACACTCCCCTCTTCCCGGACCCTCAGCTCTGGCCCTGGCCTGGGGCCTCTGTGCTCGGACTGGACCGCAGCTCAGTCCGTCTGAAGCCAGGCTCATCACCCTTGTCCCTGGGTGATCCTCATCTCCTGAGCCACACAGGGACTCCCCAGGCATCCGCCTGCCCTGGACCTGTTCCCAGAGCCGACAGCAGGGTGGCGTGGACGACCCCTGCTGCAGGAAGGACTCAGGTTAAGGCCCAGGGAGGAGGCGCTGTGTAGCTTGAGCAGTTGTGGGGACTGGAAAAGGTCCTTCCCCCATTCCTGTCACCCCAACCACCCAGGTGCTGTCCCTGTCACCTCCTCCCAGACAACTTCTAGGGGACACGGTTCACCTGGGGGGCTTTGAGATGGGCTGGAGGAGGAAGAGGAGCATGAGGAGGGGCTGGCTCTAACCCCCGCCCCCTTCTGGCTGGCTGAGAGCTTAGCTGGCTAGAGGGGTGGGTAGGTTCTGTTTTCCCAAAGGTCCTCAGGGTAGGGCCGGAGTGCGGAGGAGGCATCAGCTGGTCAGCCCAGGGGCTGGAAGCCAGGGTGGGGTCAGGGGAGACCAGTGGGTGGCCCAGGGAGGGGACAGATTGGGTGGGCGTCCTGGCCGGAAGAGGAAGGGTTTGGCCTGACCATTCTTTGCCCCCGAGAAGGGAACACAGGCCAGACCAAGAACCCAGAGCCTCCAGGCTTGTTCCCATCTAAGCCTTTGTCCCTGAAGGGCTGGGGTACCTGAGCCGGCCATGCTCCCCAAACCCCTTCCAGCTGCAGCAGCACTGTGCCCCAACACTGCACATACCCCTCAAGGGGGTGAAATCAGACCACTCCTGGGCCCCTGATCTGCCCTGGGGGCCCACAGTGCACTCACTGCGGGGGTACCCTGGAGCACCTCCCCAGCAGGCTTGCTTCTTCTCATACAGAGCCCCCTCCTGCTCCCCTACTCAACCTTCACCCTCCAAGCCTCTGGTTCAAGGACTCAAACACCTTCCCTCCCAAGAATCATAATGTGACCCCACATATCATTCACTGAGCTGAAACAGGCAGGGTGCTGAGAAATGTACATGATCATCACATTCAAAGTTTACATTCACTCCTTGTGGTAGGTGTTATGGTCCACTTCAGACATGAGGAAGCAGGCACAGAGAGGGTAAGAAACCTGCCCAGGACCACACAGCCAGCAGCGTCAGAGCTGGGATCCAAATCCAGGCTGCTGGCAGAAGCCTCCCCATAATTCCATTCTTTTCCGAGCCCAGACGGGAAGCCCAGGGGCTCCGCATCTTCCTTTTAAAAGCCTCTCTTATGGGGGTGGGGGAGCTGGCAGGGGGTTGGACAGGAGAAGGGGACGGGGGTGGGGGCTGCCACAAAAGCATGATCAGAAGCGTGGGAACCAAGATGTGTTTACAGTCAAGAATGAGCTGACACTTCTCTCTCCTCCACCTCGAGATGCAAATCGGCTGGGCTTCTGGCCAGGCCCTGAGATCCCAGCCCTCTCTGCCTCCAAGCCCACACAGAAGACCAGATCACCCTCCCTGGGCTTCCCCAAACTCCAGCTCAGCTGGTTCCCTCTGGTAGGGAGCCCCCTACCCTCGCTGTGCCCCAGCCCCTCCTAGGAGGAAGGAATTGAGTGTAGGCTCTGGGGGAGTGGGGGTGGGGGTGGGGTTCCTGGTGGACAAGAGGATCCATTTCTATAGAAAGCAGAGAGTAAGAGTGACGGAAGTGAGATAGCAGAAGGGACCTCCCCACCACTCATTCCAGCTTCTCTGGGAAGTCATGCAGCATAGGATAACCCCTGAGCTCTGCACCCCCAACCCCTGCCCAAGTTCAAGCCTGGGTGTGATTCCCAGCTTGTAGTTCCCTCGCCTGTAAAATGGGGATGAGATGGGTACCTCCTTTGTAGGGCGTCTGTGCAGACTGAACGAGTTGATCCAGATAAAGCGGTTAGAGCCCGTGCCTATATGCTTGGTTAACATTAGCTGTCTCCATGACAGTGTCCTCAGTCCCATTCCTCCTCCTGCACCCAACATGGCCCCCTCCCCCCTTTCCCCCCCCTTCCCCCTCCCCTTGATGGTATTAATTCCAGGAAAAACTTTCTCGTTTTCTCTGAAGAACCCCCAGGATGATCCGGGAATGGGAATGGGGCCGCAAATGCTGACAGAGAGAAAGGAAGTGTGGGCAGGAGGGGGCCAGGCTCCCCCGAGAACCTGATCCCCCAAAATGATGGGCTGCCCGCCAGGTGCATCTTCAAGCCAGACACGCTTGACAAGGCAGGATGCCTGAATTCTGCCTCCCCCAGCCCTGGGCCTGAGCACCAACGCTAGCTCCTCACTAGGTTCCACTGCCCCTCCTCTCTTCTCCATCTCCCTCTTTCTGTCTCTCACCACTTCCCATCCTGGAGGACAAAGCTTCTAGTCCTATCTCTGCTCCTTACAAGCTGTGTGACCTCAGTTATAATATATCACTCAAGTCCTCTGATCCTCCATCTCCTCATCTGTGAAATGGGAGAATATCACTCCCTGCCACCTCTCAGGGTTCTGCAAGGGTTGGTACTGCTGGTTCCAGTGATCATTCTGGAACAGAACCTCAGACTAGAACCTGCTTGGTGGGTGTGTGTTGATGCAAAAACAGAATCCTCTAAGCTCCAGGGTTTCTGCCTCTTCCTTTTTGACGTTTGTCTTGTTCTTCATCAGACATTTTGCTATCTGCCTTTCTCCCTTCCCTCGTCAGCTTCTTGGCCTCTGTCTTCCTGCCTCTCTTCTCTCCTTTCTATACTAAGGCCACCATGTACAGTTGCACGGTATATTCACTGCACAGCGGCACCATTTTCGAGGGTAGAGTGGAAGCCGAACTCCAGCCACGATCCACTTACTAAAGCCATGCGTCTTAGTAAAATCAGGTGCTAAGGTCGTCTTGCCCTGTATCTCACTTGTCTGTCTGTCCGTCCTGTCTTTCTGTCTGTCTCCCTGTCTCTGGGTCTGTTTCTCTGTGGCCTTTTCTAATCTATCTTTGCCATGGAGATAGGATCACTTAGTCCTTCCCACCCAGCTGTGAGATCCCAGTCCAAAGACTTCTTCCCTCCCTCCCCAAACAGGGAGCTCTCCCAGCGGCCTGCTGCACTCCACGTGGGCTGCCCAGAACACCCATGTACGCGCTTGCACACTGAGCACAGAGCGCCGCGTAGATCCAGGCTGGCCGGGCCCTCGGCACACCAGGCATGTCTGCCAGATGGAGGAACAGGAAGCGTGCGTGTGCGCGCCAGAGTGCGCCAGGGGCTGGGCGGGAAGGGGCAGGGGTGAGGGGCCGGACTTGTGTTCTCTGTGGCTCAGGAAACAGAGCTAGAGGGTCCTAGGTCCAACCTGTTTACTCATCAGGAAATGGGACGGCTGCAGGGATTCTGATTCACACATCTATCGCGCACACACACCTCCTGGAAGCTGTCACCAGTGCCAGTCCCAGCCCTCGCCACCACCCTGGAAAGTGATGGTGATTGTCATCCCCATTTCGTGGGCGGCACAGTGGAGGGTCTCAGGTAAAATGCCTTGCCAAGGCCTGTCTGGCTGCAGAGGCAAGAGCAGGATTCGAATCTGCTTCAAAGGACAAAGCAGGGTGTGGAGGGTAACCCCTGGGGTGACACAGGCTAGGGAGCAGCGCCCCCTCAGACCAGCCTGAGATTACCTTTGGACAATGCTCTGGCCACTGCCCCCTTCTCCCACCCTCTGTGGCTCCCTACACTCCAGGAAGAACACCCAGGGGCCCACCCCCACCAGTGGGCCCAGCCTCATTTCCTCTGCCTCTGTGCTCCCATCACACTGGACAGCCACTGACCCACATGCCTCTCACACACCACCATGGCCGCTCAGGCCACCCCTGAAACGCAGGTTCTACATAGCCTCCAAGGCCAGCCTCTTCCAGGAAGCCCTCCGTGGCTCCAGCCTCACACACTCCTCCCTGCTCTCCAGGCCTTCCTGCAGGCTCTCTGCACAGTCACCATAGACCCTCATGGCCTCAAGGAGGCCAGGGTTGCTCTTCTCCCCCGAATGCCCTGAGGCCAGCTCCCAGCTGGACTTGCATCCGTCCCAGAGGCTCCACACCTACCCAAACCCCAGCCAAAGTCCTGGCACCAGTGGACCTCCCCTGGAGGCAAGCAGAACTCATCAGGCCAACCCAGGGCTTCACAGCCCCCGACATACCCCAAGTCTGCCGGACTGATTAGGCTGACAGATACCGTATCATTGATTGCTGGCTGGTGAGTCTGGCTTCCCCACCAGGGTGGACTCTCTCAAATCTCATTCCTTCCCAAGGCTCTGTGAGCGGGCCTGGGTGCCTCCTGGCTGTTTCCTCGAAACTCCCATCCTATGAGTCATTATGTTTTCATTAAAGTCAGCCTGCCTCACTGGACTGGAGCTCCCCAGGGACAGGGTACGTCTCTGCCTTCCTCACCACTGTAACCCCACCAGGCCCCACACCCAGGGCGCTGGGCACCCAGCAGGCAGTCACTAAACGTTCTCGTGGAGTGGATGGACTGATACACCCTGAAGTCCCTTCTGTCTCCAGTTAGCCTTAACTTTCCCAGGAATGGGAAAGAGAGAGAGACGCTGAGAGGCCATGGCTTCCCCCCATACCCCACACAGCAGAAATGGGCCCTTGTCCTGGGGCCCTCGACACACAATGAAGTGCGTGTTTGCTGTGATGATGGAAGGCGGAAGGCAGAAAGAACTTTTCAATGTTACAAAGCAAAAGGCGACTCCAGACTTGCCCTCCTGACCCCCAGCAGGAATTCCTCGGGGCTGGCCTCCAAGTTCCTACGGCATGAGTGCACGCAGCGCCAGGCCCTGAGTCACCTGGAGGTGTAGTGGCATGCCCGAGGCGCCTGAGCCCTCATCCGGTGCCTCCCACCCAGGGACAACGCCCCCTCACTGTCCACTGCACACATCTCCCGCTACCCAGAGGGACTGGACCCCAGGTGCCACTCCATGGGGCTAGGACGGAAGGCAAAAGCGGGAGGGCATGAGCACCCACCGGCAGTGAACGGGCCAGGCCCCAGGACTCACCCTCAGGCTGTTTCTCCCAGGACGCGGGTCTTGCTGCACGTGGGAGCTGTAATACTAATTACCGCGCCTTGTTAAATGTGTACTGCGGGTGCTAGATCCTTTTAGTTCTCCCAGCATGCCTATAAAGTAAGTGCTATTATGCCTCCCATTTTATGGATGAAGACATATCCCAGAAAGGTTCAGTGATTTGTGCCAGGCCACACAGGTGACTGAAGCCAGAGCAGGGGTTTGGGCCAGGTTTATCTAACACCAAAGCCTGTGCTGCTTTCTTTTTCTTTTGTTTTGAGACAGAGCTTCACTGTGTACCCAGGCTGGAACGCGGTGGCCTGATAAACGGCTCACTGCAGCCTCAACCTCCTGAGCAATGGACCCACAGGTGGGCACCAACACCCCCGGCTAATTAAAAAGAAATTGTAGAGATGCAATCTCACTATGTTGACCAGGCTGGTCTTGAACTCTTGGCCTCCAGATTTCCTCACACCTTGGCCTCCCAAAGTGCTGGGATTACAGGCGTGAGCCACCTCGCCTGGCACTTCCTGTGTGCTGCTTTCTAAACTCATAGTTTCTTTGGTCTCCTGACTTTCTCCCTCTCCCTGTGTCTCCACCTCCCTTTGTTCTGTCTCTAGGTCTCTGTTCTGTTTTTCTAGGCCTGCTTTTCCTCCTCTGGGCATTTCACTGTAATGAGTCTGCTTCTGCGGTGTCTCTTCATCTGTCAGCCTGTTTCCATGTTTATGTCTGTCTCTTATCTCTGTCTTTGTGTTTCTCTCTCTCTTTCCCTGTCTTCTCTGTCCCTTCCTTCTGGCTTCTCTCCTGTAGGTTAGGTGACAGGAGCCAACATTCTCCCCAGAGCTGGGATGGCCCCCCAGCGTTCCCCATGAGTCCTGGGAGGCCTCTTTCTCAAGGCTCCCTAGGCTCCTCAGCGGAGAGGCTCGGGGAGCAGAGCGTGCTGGGTGGAGGGAGGCGCACAGCAGCCCCACGACTTCTATCTCTCTCCAGGTTTCCGACTGGTGGATGGGGCTGCCCGGAGTGTGAGTTTCCTTTTCTGGGAGAGTCTGATAGGGAAGGTTGAGGGGGAACAGAGGGTGGAGAAACAGCTGCCAACTCTCAGCTTCCCCCTCCAGTGGAGAGAGAGGAAGGCAGAGAGGTGAGCTTGGCCAACCCAGCTCCATCTGCACTGGGGCACATGGTGGATGGAGATGGCAGCCCCACCTGCACTGGGGCACATGGTGGATGGATCTTCGGAGGCCTCAAGAGTGGGAAAGGCCACAGCAGGCAGGAGACAGAGGGAACAGGCGGGCTGCGCCCACACCCTGGCTCACGAGCACACACAACAGGTCCTATACCATGAACTGGGTTTGAGGGGTTCAGAGACTAGCTCCCCCATCTCCAACCATCCCCCTAGCACAAGGCCAGCTTAGGCCAGAGTTGAGAGCTGACACCCAGCCCAATGCTGCCTGAGCTGAGGCCTGGCTGAGCCTGGGAATCTCAGGCCAGCACAAGCTGTTCCAGTCCCCAGGGGAAGAGGGTCACGGCCCAGCCCCGGGAGAGGCCACTCACAACAGGCCAGAAGAGGGGAGTGGAGAGCAGCTAGGGGAGCTAGAGATGGGGGCAGGAGTGAAGGGTGGCCTTGCTGGGGCCTGGGCTCCTGGACCCCCAACACACCCACCTGGCCCTTAGCACAACCTCAGATCATCAGCCTGCCAAGCTTTCTGAGGATCCAGATGCCCCGGGGATTCATGCCGGGACCTCAAGCCGAATCCCCAGTCCTGATAACTGGCAAAGATATGAGAGCCAGCGACCTGCAAACCTGGATCCCTCCCCTACATCCTCCCTCACACGTTCCTCCCCTGTGGGCAGAGAGGTGACACTGATGGTAAACACTGACATGGGATGATAAGCACTGTCCTCAGTGTTTACCGTCTGTGTATCCAGTGAACACAGGCGTCAAAGCAGGAGACATGCTTTTGCTCACTTCAGCCTCAGCACTCATGAGGTAGGCCCTATATTATTCTCCTTTAGAAATGAGAAACTGAGGCACAGAGGTCAGGTCTCTTGGCCAAGGCCCGGCAGACAGTAAGCCGCAGGGTGGAGGCTAGCACTGCGGCAGTCTTGGCTCCAGTGTGGGTGCTCTCGTGGCTACACTTCCCTTGAGCCAAGGACAGTACCCCAGTGCCGGCCAAGGACAACACCCAGTCTTCTCTCCCCAGCCCTGGCTGCCCCCAACTCACACAGTCTGCGGACCAGGCCCTCAGGGAACAACCCGGCTAGTATTTCATCTCATTTACACGTTCATTACAGAAGGGAACCCCCAATCCATCCTCTCTGGCCCCCTCCACTGACCCGCTCCCTCTTTCACATCTCGCCATCAGTCCCTCTTTTCTACACTCCTGGCTCTGGGGTCTCAGACTCCAGAGGAGGAGGGAGACCTCAGGCCCTACACCCTTTCCCTGGGGCAGGGTGGTCTTCGGCCCCCCCTGCCGGGGGAGCGCAGTCACAGCGCAGTCACTCACCTGCCTTGGGGCCCCGTCTCTCCTGCGGCCTGGGATGGGGGACCGCCGGGGTCTGCGGGGAGGAGGGCTGACGGCCGAGGACTGAGCGAGGGTCCCCGCGTCGAGCCCCAGCCTGACTGCGGGAGCGGCGTGGAGGCGGGACGCTGCTGATCACAGGGCGGAGAGGGGCGCGGAGTGGCGGGGGGCAGGAAGGGGGTGGGAACTCGGGCGCTCGCCAAGGCAGGAAGTTTTGACAAGGAAACGGGAGCCGGGGGAGGGGAGATCCAGGCGCCCCGGAGGGAAAACTGTGTTCAGGGTGGGATCACCGAGGCCGACTCTGCGCAGCCTGGGCCAGGAGCAGAGGGGGATGAGGAGGGGAGGTCAGCGCAGGGGCCCAGGGCCCGAGTACCCCCCTAGCTTCCCTTCGCTGTGCGGCCTGGGTTACTTAACCTCTGGTGCCTCAGCTTTCCTGTCTGCAAAGTGGGGTTGTGGAGAGGAACCAAGGAGATCGCCTACGTCGGGCACTGTCCAGTGCTGCCCAGCAACCGTCATCTTATTAAGACCCCGCCCGGGCACCGCATACCACTGATCTCGGAGAGGTGGACAGGGCGAGGCCCCTCCTCTCCTCCTGCCGCCCTAATCACGCTGCGGAAGGCCGGGTGCAGTGGCTCACGCCTGTAATCCTAGGACTTTCGGAGGCCGAGGAGGGCGGATCATTTGAGGTCAGGAGTTCGAGACCAGCCTGGCCAACACGGTGAAACCCCCGTCTCTACTAAAAGTACAAAAAAATAGCTGGGCATGGCGGCGGTCGCCTGTAGTCCCAGTTACTGGTGGAGGTTGAGGCAGGAGAATCGCTTGAACCCAGGAGGTGGAGGTTGCAATGAGCCGAGATCCGGCCACTGCACTCCAGCCTGGTGACAGAGCCAGACGCCGTGCGGGCAAAAAAAAAAAAAAAAAAATAGCTAGGTGTGGTGGCGCGCTCCTGCGGTCTCAGCTATTGGGGAGGCTGAAGAGGGAGGATCACTTGAGCCTAGGAGGTCGAGGCTGCAGTGAGCCAAATCGCGCCACTGCACTCCAGCCTGGGCGATGGAGCGGGAGCCTGTCTTTAAAAAAAAAAAAAGTAACACCGCGGGAGGGTGTGACCCTGGGCAGCAGTCTTCCGCGCAGCCTCCGCAGCGGCCAGCCCCCGCCGCGGCCAGCCCCGTCTAGCCCCCGCCCCGCTGCGCCGCAGCAGCTCCTGGGCCCACCGAGCCCCGTGCGAGCGCCACCTCGCGGCCAGCGCCCGCCCCCAGCGCCCCACAGCCGGCGGGCGGGACCTGGGCGCCGCTCCCCGCCGGACAGCAGCGAACGTTCGCTCTGGTCATCGTTAGCCCTTCGGGCGTGTTGTCTCATTGAATCCTTCAGTCGACGTTGGTTTTATCATTACGGCATTGACATCTGGCGAAACCGACGTCCCCAGCGGCTTAGGACCCTAATCATTGGCAGAGCACTATTCGGTTTGGTTTTGAGAGGGAGTCTTGCTCTGCCGCCCAGGTGCGATCTCGGCTCACCGCACCCTCCCCTCCCGGGTTCAAGCGACTCTCCTGCCTCAGCCTCCCGAGTAGCTGGGATTGCAGGCGCGCGCCACCACGCCCGGCTGATTTTTTGTATTTTTAGTAGAGACCGGGTTTCATCGCGTTAGTTAACCAGGATGGTCTCCATCTCTGAAAATGTCAGAACTTTTTCATCATCCCAAACTGAAACTCTGTACCCATTAAACAGTAACTTCCACTCCCCGCCCCCCAGCCCCCAGCCCCTGTTAACCACTATTCCACTTTCTGTCTCCATAAATGTGCCTGTTCTAGGTAACCCAAACAAGTGAAGTCATAAATACTTGTACTTTGGTGTCTGGCTTATTTCACTTCTCATGTTAGTTTGATGAGGTTTGTGTGTGTGTGTGTGCGCACCCGTTTAGCCACCATTCCAATTTTTAAAAAATGTTTTTAAATTTCCATATCCCCCAAAGTTTGCCTGCTCCCCTTTGCAGATAATGTCCCCAAATTCCATTTTCACCCCTCAACCCAAACCCTGTGAAATCTCTGATCTGTTAGTCTGGGTGCGGTGGCTCACGCCTGTAATCCCAGCACTTTGGGAGGCCCAGGCGTGCGGTTGGGAGTTCGAGATCAGCCCGGCCAACACGGTGAAACCCCGTCTCTACTGAAAATACAAAATTAGTCGGGCCTGTAGTCCCAGCTACTCGGCACCTATAGTCCCAGCTACTTGGGAGGCTGAGGCAGGAGAATCGCTGGAACCCAGGAGGCAGAGGTTGCAGTGAATTGAGATTGCACCTGGTCGACAGAGCGAGAAAGAAAGGGAAAGGAAAGAAAGAAAGAAAGAAAGGGAGAGAGAAAGAGAAAGAAAGAAAGAAAGAGATCTCTGATGTGCTTTCTGTCACTGTAGGTTTATTTGTTCTAGAATTTCCATCAAAATAGAATCGTACGATATGTGCTCGCTTTCTGTGACTTCTTTCACTTATCACA